GTGTCTCTGTGCTAGATGTATACATGCGTTTGTTTTTTGTTCTATGTTCATTTATACATGAATTTTGTTCTCTTTGTTTTATTATTTTTTTCTCTATTTTTCTTTAAGTACTTTTTAATAATTATTAATAATACTTAGCATAACATATATTTGTAAGAGTCTTAAATTCTGCTGTTAATTTGTGTTAATTGAATTTCATGTGTAAACAAAATAAAATACATAAATAGATGTTAAAATGAATAAATTAATTTTGGTTTTTCATTATATGGCATTTGGGGCATTGGGGCAACGCCTTGATTACAGCTAAGAGCTCAAGCAAACAATTTGAATTTCCTCAGGCAAAATTTATAAAATGATATCGTTCAAATTTCATACTTTTAGCGAAATTACGTTGAAGTTCATAGGTTTCTCTTATGCTTCTATTTACGTGATATTTGTAAGCGGCACCGTCATGTTTCGCTTGCTTGTTTACTCATTTCAGTGAACAACAGGATGGAAACCAAGGATGTTGCGTAAAAACGATAGAAAATTACTTTAGCCTGTGGCTGAGTCAAAATAACCTAGAGAAAGTGAAATTTCGATCCCCTATAATATTGAGTGATCATGGTCGACATTACCCATTTTTATGCAAGTGCTATCAGATCATCCATATGCGGCCTTTTCCATTATTCGTGTAGTTCACGAGGAACGAGAAAAAAGGTCAATCTTTAATACCCACCAGCCACTACGGTTTCCGTTACATCGCTATCTTTCAGCATTCTGCCTTGTTTAACTTACGAGTAGTGAGCAAAAAACTGTAAAAAAGTAAAAAATATTTGTTCATTTGTAACTTTAAGTAGGCGTGGTCGCATTTGTTCATTTTTATACACGAATAGTATAGTTCTCCATAAAATAGTTATAAATCTATCCATTATAAAGTACAAGCAATGAGGAAAAGAGAGTTGTTTCCATATTTTGCTTCACTGCGCACGCGTCCTTTCATCAATTTGGCTTATTTTCAATACCATATTCCGTACAATGCGTTCAACGCATCTGCCAAATTTGATGTGCGAACATTAATTATACTACACAGACACGCAGGCGTACCTAGATCGATTCAGAATTTTACTTTGTAAAGTCTCTGAAGCTCCCTTTTCTGAGAGTTGTGAATATAAAAAAAACAAAAAATTGTATATAAATTTTTTTCCTTCTAGATTTCTATCCGAACAGTACGTTACAAATGAAATATTTACTGCTGAACATGGCGATAAACATTGAAAATAATTCGTATTTTTCGAAATTTTTAAATTAAGCGGAATCTTGTAATCTCAGAAGGAACATAAAAGTATTTAGGGAACATACACGGAATACTCGGAATGCTCTGCTTTTTGCTTTCTGCCTACGAAAAACTACATATATATTTGTCAAATGATTTTAACGCGTGAAAATACGCATCGAAGATCCCATAAGTGATTAGATTAAGTTGTAACACACTTAAACCCCATGCCACTTATGGTATAGCATATATGTATTAGATTTGAGCTAATTTACGGAAAATTCAGAATGATGAGCCATTTTTTATTATATCGGTCTACTCAGGCCAGTTTTCTGAATCAACTTGTGTTGGTTTATCCATTCTATCCATCCAAGATTTTATATACAATAAATGGAGAGACATCGGATAAACAATATTGAGAAATTGTCTCTAAATCGGTCGGTTCAGTAAATGGCAAGTCCATCTTAAAATCTTCTGTTTATTAGTGATTTTTTATAACAGGTGCTTGCATGTATTTTAATCATTGACATCCTGATGATAAAAATGATAAAGTAATGCGAAAAACACAAGGGTTAAATTCACATCAATCTGCACAAAATACCAGTTTGCCAGTTGATAAATCAACTGTTTCTAGACGTTATCATGCGATGGCAAAGATTTCGAACTCTTCTAGCATCGCGACTTCATTGCCTGCCAGCTTTCTGTAGCGTATTGCGACTGGTGATGAAAAGTGGACCTACTATGAGCGAAAAAAGTATGGACTAGTTCAGGAGTGCGATCCACATCGACACCGAAGTAGAATATTCATGATCATAAAGTTTTGCTTGGCATATGGTGTAATTAGGAAGGTACAGTGTATTACGTGCTGACTAAACCAAATCAAACTGTTAGTGCAGATGTCTATCGACGTCAATTGAACAAATTGAACGATGTATTGTCGCAAAAAAGACCAGCAATCGCGGTTAACAGACTTAAAGTCAGCCTCTTGCATGACAATACTCGGCCACACATCGCAAGAGTTGTCAAGGATGCATTGTTTGCAGCTAGAATCAGAAGACGTCTTCTGAATGCCCCGTATTCGGATGGATGCAGCCAGAGTTGGTTGGCTTGTAGTAGTAGTTTGAAAATGGGTAGATAATTGAATCGCTGCCAAACTGATATCGTTCTTTCGACGCGGTATCGCCATGTTCCTCGAAAGATGGAAAAAACTTGTAGAAAATGAAGGAAAATATTTTGATTAATGTGTATTGCACCAATTGTTCTGGATGCATTGTTGCAGCTCAAATAGAAAGTTCTGCCGCACCTAGACCGCTCAACACGCATAGCGGCTTTTCAAGTGCTGCTTGTTCTGGCCGATGCAGCATGGCTCGGTAGGCACACGATTTCGATATTTATATATTTACACGTGAAACTCAGCTAAAATTAATTAACAGCCGAATTTTCGAAGTAAATCTTATATTAATTATTATTAAAAAGTAGTATAAAGTATATAAGAAGAAGTAAAGAAAAAAGAAAAATTAAATAATTATTTATGTATAAATAAATAGGAAAGAAAAAAGAAACAAACCATGTACGCAACTAGCGCAGAGGCGCACCCACAACCAGTGCAGAATCACGTTGCAAGTGAACTCCTAAGCCATGGCAAGCACGGAAAATCTTGGCGACCGATAACAATAAAAAACACCTGTTCATCTTCCAATCATAACGAGATGTTAAGATTGCAAGTTAATTTAAATACGACATATGCAAATCGCGCGTATTAAAAATAGTTTTTTTTTAATTTTTTTTGGTAGAATTTAAAAAGCCTTATATTGAGATTAAAAAATAGATGTCATTAAGGTTTCTGCAAACAACTCCTAAACAGCTCATAATTATAACTGCATTGATTGACTAAGCTTAATGAAAATAAAGCGGATCCGTAAGCGATTAGGGCCATTAAAGCTTCTCTTAATTGGGAAGGAAACACCAAGAATAAATCCACGTTTCTCGAATGACGGTAAGGATAATGGAAGCAACCTAATTATTGTTATGTTGAAGAAGGGCGAAAACGGGTTGATAATTGGATCGCTATCAAACCAATAGCGTTCTTTCGACACGTTATCGTCACGTTTGTCCGAAAGATAAGAAAAAGTTGTAGAAAATGATTGGAAATATTTTCATTAATATAAATTGAGCAAATTGTCTAACTGAATGAATGTCTTCTTTAAGTGAAAAAATTGATCAAAATACATGCAATAAACTAGTAATAAAAATTATACTTTGCTAATTTCAGACCACATGGATCTATTAGTCGGAGCTCTTTTATGAAAATTAATTTTGTTATATTACGGTCTCGTGAGTTAACGTTTTGGGCCCAGTCCCCATGGAGCTTCATATGGAAATAATTCGTTACATTTGGTATTATAACATGAATATGACTGAAGAACACTAGGGCACTTAACGATCGGTGTTACCGGACAATAGTATTTAAACCTCTTTCAAAATAGATTAGGATAGGGAATCTTGCGAAATTTGGTCATTATTATGTGGATGAATTTTGCAGCGATGACTTAACTTATTGACTAATTCATATTATCAATTGCGATGTATTTTTAATTTATAAATAAATTTACAAAGTCGTTCGTATTAAATGTTTAGGTTCCTTAAAATATGCTGCAATTATCTTATGATTAGTTGATGTAAAACATATATGCAGGAACATAAATATTAAAGTTGTGTTAGTCGTTACTACATTAGGTGTTTGCAAGAATTTTGATCAGGTAAAAATCTGGATATGAGAAACACCAGTGTACATAATGGTTGAGTTCCTTCGTCGTTTTGACCTTCGTCTACATAAAATAACTATTTTCCATTGAATATTATTGATTTATTCGACGTATGCGGACGCTAATCGTCTAGCGCTCAAAATTCTTCTTCTTCTAAAGTCATTACTTTTATTGTTTATTTGAAGAAATCTGTTGCCGCAGCCAACCAAACATATTCAGAAGCTCATGGTGATGCTGCTCCATCATATTCCAATTGTTGATTTTGTGTTCAGCGGTTTAAAAAATGGCGACACGAATTAACTGAAAATGTCAGTTTTTGGCCACTTGTGACAAAAGTTGCCCAATATATACTGTTGCGCCTCGAATGGGAAGTTCTACCACACTCACCAAAGCCTGGATGGCACGAGGGTCCGCAAGCTTGAAGAAGTGTGTAAATGAATCGGAGGGTAGATCACTGCCAAATGAATATAACTTCTTTCGACATGATATCGCCATTTTGATTAATTCATGTTGTATCAATCAATTTTCCATAACAAATAACTTTTTCAAGTAAGAAAGTGATCAAAATTTTTCCAAACACCTAATATTAGTTTAAAAATTTTTTTTTAGTACTCTTTATAACGAGAGTGAAAAAAAAAAAAAAAAAAACACTTCGTAATCTAATTAAAGTTCATATTTTTTGGACATAAATTTTATTTAAATTTTCAGTGTTTTACCGCAATGATAATTTCGTTAAACAAGTTACGAAAGTTATACTCATCTTGAGTCGAATTTTGGATACTTATCTCTTTCAAGTAAAAGTCTGAAAATCTGGAAGTTTTTTTTACCAATTATAGTCATCTTAATGTACTGACCTCACACAGTTTGCTAAGGCAATTGTCGCAACATAAGACCGCCAATGGTTTAATTTATAGTTTTTTTGATGACTACTTTTAATGTTGTACACAATCATTTACTATCCATTCCATTCCTAGGTATAATATGTGAAAAAAGTTAACTTCTTAATTGAGGCTATTTTTGAGAAGCGAAACCATTTTTGCAATTGCTTTTAAGATGACCATGATAGATGTGAATATGTAGATCGTAGAGCAATCACAATCAACAACTTGTAAGCAAACCTTGATAACAATCTTGAACGTTTCAACAAGAGAGCGTCCACCGGCACCAGATGGACAGAGAAATGTATGGACGCAGATATATATAGTCTCCTGCGGAGTATTTCTGCGTGTTACATAACGAAAGAATGTATCTAGTATAGCCATCTATAGCATACGTCCATCGATGTTGATGAAGTATATAAAAATATAACACTAACGCTTGCGTTGATTTGTTTCGACCAAATATATTAATAATGCACACAAGAGTATGTATAATAATTATTTTTGTGGGTACAATAAACTTTCCAAACATTTTCCGCAGTTTATAAATATTATATTTGCCTAATTAAACACTTTGCACATTTATTGCATAGACAAGCGCGAAATTAAACTTGCAGATTACTACGATATTCTACATATATGTTATAATACGTTGATAGTATCGAGCATGCGATAAACTTATACACTACTTATACAAACATGCATGCACTAGTTCATATCAGCTTATGCGTCTGCGTGTGTCTGAATTAAAGCTTTTTAACAGAAAAAAATGTTTAAATACGCTTTCGAAAATTTTAGGATATTTACATTTATTCTACTATTATTTCTATAAACTATAAATTATTTACTTTATTTACACTTTCAACATCCACTATACTATTTTATTCAACACATTTAGTGAGGATATAACGAAAGTGTACCTAAGTTTACGAATTATTGTTATTTATTCATAACTTGGACATCACATTAAAGTAAGGTGTGTACTATCTTCACTGCAGAGATAAACACCAATTTACGCTTGAAGTTTGAAATTGAATAATATCCAATTTACAAGAAAAAAGATCTGTATCCTCATTTAAATAACGAAACAGTCATCTTCAATAAACAAGATTTTTAATTTGTTTCGAGAAATTCTTTTAATATTTGAGGCTTATTCGACATGGTTGTTATATTAGTCCCTTGCTTTTCAAACAAGAGCAGGAGGCCGCACAAAATTGCCATTATTATCGTGCTCGCTTGTTTACCATAAAATCGATTACAAGATTTTGCCTAAAACATCTATTAGCGAATTTATATTCGAAATAAGTAAAATCATTATGGTGGGACTGCGCCGGCCATTACATGCGGTTACATGCCATACACTACTTCGCCGAGTGCAGCTATTCGTTGGTTTTAGTAACAAAACACCAAAATTAGTTTCATGCAAATCCATAATTTTCATGAAAGCTCGCATATTGGAAGGTTAAGAGTTTGTGTTTCGTGATAGCGCCTACATACGTTGCGTTCCAAAAAAATAGATCTATATCCAAATTATCTATCTACCTACGTTAATTGTTGATCTTAAATCCTACTATGAATTAATTTTCATCATAAGGTATCAAAACTTAAGCCTTTTTCCGAAGAGCTTACTACTCATAGGACAGCTTATATGGAGCGGAGCCAAGAAATATTCCCATGTGTTGTCAACAATATTTCAACGAAAAAAAATTAGCAATTCGGCTATTTTGACATATAAGGGTTTACGTTTCATGAAAATTCTTATTTGCCAATTTACTATAATGAGTCAATTTCCATCACGAAATATTGAAAATTCGAGTCGATTTTCACCCTATTAAGCTTCATTCTGGGAGACGAACAGGCAGACTTGGGTCGAATTAGAAAGTGATTCTGAATCGATCAGTATAATAAAAGGTTCTATGATGATAATAATAGTTTTTAGCAGAGATATGGCGGAATTGTATCGACTACATTCACAATCGTAAAAAGTTGTCCATTTGGTAGCGTGACATGTTATCCGCTGCATATTACATAAGTGATTACATGCTTAATAATATTTCTATTTTTGGAGATTTGGCGATTGTCTTCAATTCCCATATGGAAGGAATTGTGAACACAATCCAATCACTTTCCAGACTCATGAGCAGTGAGTGGAGTAAGAAATTTGACGATATTTATTTAACTAGATGACTGATTACGGCTTTAATTAAGACGGCTTTAAAATACGCTTTGTTTATTTGGGAATCTAGCTACAGATGCCATACTGCGATGCGATTGAATCAATGCAAAGGACCTTCTTAGCAATATATTTTCTGACTCGGCATAATTTGCCTATCAGGTTATCGCAAGGCTGCACAAACAATAGCGTGCGTGATAAGTCCTTTCATACGCTTTGTCTGCAAATGGCCAATGATGATTATCGTTTGTTTGATGTGGTTACAGATCCGTACAATATTGCTAAATATTGGATATTACAATACTGACCATCAAACCGTTAGATTTTATACCATATAATCTTTGTGGTACGGATGTGTGCAATATTCAGAAGGTCCTGAGATAGACCTAGATTTTATTATGCCGATCGATTTAAAATTATATTCTAAATCCATTTAATCTCGTCTGGCTGTCCGTCCGCTTTGTTTTTTGTATGCCAATATAGTCCGTTTAGTAGTTTTTGAGTTGTTTCGATGATATTCGGTACACAGACGTGTTTTGCTCTAAGGACGAATGTTCTTGAAAATGATTTGGACCAAACCACTTTTTTCAGCGGTTCCCTTATAAAGTTTTATTTTGAAAAGCCCTTATATGAATAACTAACTATATTGTGCGTATTTTTGTTTGTTTAATTTTAACTTTATTAAAATCTGTTTATGTTTGTAAATGTGTGTATCGTATGCATCCAATTCTGCAAGTTGTCTCGCGTTTCCTCATTTCAATTTCGAGGTGATTGTTCAATTATCAATCTTCCTGCTTCAGTTTGCTTTGGACCTTTGGAAGATGAGCTCTTTACTCAAGAAGCTCATTACTACCTAGGAAATTGTAACCAGCTGGTAACTGGTTAAAAGTGCGTAGAGATAGTAATTTAGTGAGTGCATGGTAGATCGCCCCTGCCATGTCAGTGCAATGCCCGAGACTTATATATCTCGATGAAGGGTAGTTCTGGGGTTGGCTTACCGGGATGGCATGGCTAATCCAAAGGCAAGAGTGGCCTGTTTTCACCTGCGTAAAGTATGCCTAAGGCTGCTTTATAGTCTAAACTGTGAGCCACGGGGGTCAGGGACCCGCTCACAATAGCCACGTATGCCTGCGGGTATATAATGGGATTGAAATTTTAAAAAGTCGTAACTAAAACTAAATACGATTTTCCAATAATGATGTAAAAGGTATTTGGCGGAAGGCTTACCCTTCGACCTATTTTACTAATAATGATATAAAAAGGAATTTGACGTAGAGCTTATCTTTGGCCTATTATACTAAATCCCTACTCTACATAATATTGATAATTTTCTGCATGAATTATGGATGATATAAAAGGGATTTGACGGTAGGCTTTTCTATCCGTTTTGCCTACTTTACACTTTTTAAATTATATGTCCACGGATGCCTGCGGGTAATGGTGGTAATTGATCAACCTGCGCTTGCAGAAACCTTATGGTGGAAGCAAGCGCATTTTTCTTTCCCTTTTTGAACGCATAAAGTTGATCAATTTGTGAGCCCTGACTGCTTGGGGAGGCCCTTCGTGGTGGTTGTGGTTTTCACCCGTTCCATGCCAAAGTGGAGCAAATCGAGCTGCGGATAGGCCTCAACACTGACCAGGATGGGTTTATTGAACCATACCCAATAAACTGTTCTGAACTCTGGTGCTGCTTAGGCCCCTACTCTGTGGGGATTGTTTAACTCACCAGGGGGCGTATATTACGCTTAAAGTGGCTTGCGCCACCGTGGGGTTAAGCCATCATGGCAGGAATCCACGTTAAACCCATGCTACAAATCTGTCATATAGTACCATAGGTTTAATGATATGCTTATGTTGACAAAATGTTAACTGTGAGAAAATGCTTTTGCTACAAAAATTTGCTCGAAATCTCCAGATAATGAAATCAACGCACCACCAAAAATATGATTTTTTCCTCGCAAATTTTCAAATGTCCGAATTACTGCTTGTGACTGATTTCTTATACATCGCAAATAATTGGTTTTCATGCATGGAGTGCTTTGCATAGATCAGGATTTTTCTTAATATTGCAACTAAGTGGTTAAATATTTTATGTAGTTAAGGGTAAATTTAAAGCTGAAGGTGTAGTTCTCCCGCTTTGGGCTCAATCAAAATCAAATTTCTCTGTTCATCAGCTGCATTTGCTCGTCCTGCCGATCGTTTTTAAACGAAAATTATCAATTTCATATCCACTCAACTGTATGGTTCTTAATCTTTTTGATCCATTTTTTTCGTGTACGTTGCCTTTCTATTCGACTAGCACGCGATTGTGTGTCTCTCAATGCACAGATTCATTCCCTACTACGTTTCCTTATTGTCGAGTTTTTGGACCTTGTGAACGCCGTCTTCGCGGCTTTTTTTCATGTATGCAGCGCACATCCATTTTCGTATATACGTGTATAGATAAACGTACACTTTGTTATACATGTTGTACTTTGTCTCCGAACACAAAGTCAAACCATATAGTTTTTAAGTACACTATCAATCAGAATAAAAAAAATATTTTCATTCGATACAAAACCTTCCTCGAATAAACTCTTTGATGTTTTCATATAAAAACTGTCCTGCTTTATCAGGTTGTTGGCCAAGCAAACTTCAACTAAAGACTTTGGTATTTTTATATAAAAACGGGCCTGTTTTATCAATATATTTACACATATATAGTATAACTTGATGATACTTTGAGAACGTAATCATGCTCTCAAAACACAGCCACGGAATAGCCAGAGAGAAAAAAATGCGGCTGCCGAAATCATTTGCAAATTTTTTTATATCCAGAAAACAAAAAAATTCGTTACTTGCTAGCTTCATGCGATTGGAAAACCATGCAAAAGCGAAAAAGTTTGGTAAGAAATCGTCAGTACAACGTGAACACAACCGCGTCGAAGGCATGTGCGACCTCTTCAACAAATTTTGATATAATTTTATGTAAACAATATCAGCATTAAAGTAAAGTTTACCAGATTGATTGAACCTGTCGCTTCAGAATATATTCCCAAGGTCCTAACCACTAAATCATACGGAAGTCAACTGTACTTAAGCAAATTCGAAATAATAATTAAAACTGACACGTGCTGCGGTATATTTAGTGGGAAGAAGTATCTGTTATAATAAACAAACACAATAAATCCTAATATATCTGTTCTCATATTATACCAGCAATATAGAAAAAAAAGAAAATGTCCGTTTTATATAATTGAAAAATAATATGCATTGCAAGTAAGTTCCGAGCCCACACCTCAGTGGTGTTTAATATCCTGTTACAGATAGACG